AATGGATGAATCCAATTCATTTTTCATTTCTTACACTTGACGTCTCACTGGGCGTGCCAAAAAATTGTTGGCTTATTTTTCCTATGAAATAAAATACCATAAATGCAAGCGTGCCAACAAGGATTGAAAAATCCTTACAGATTAAATTCAAGCCAATTATCACGCGATTGTGTTGACAGTTCTTTTGCCTCAATGAAAAGAACTCAAAATTTCCAAATGTAGAGAAAAGAAAAATTAAAAGAAGAAGGAGAGAGAGAGAGAGAGAGAAATATGATTGAGTGAACAATCAGGGTGATTGAGTGAACAATCAAAGTAACAATTAATTACCTCTACTCTTATACTTTGAAAAGGAAGTGCATAAAATTACCTCCACTCCTATGCTTCGAAAAGGAAGTGTTGAAAATAAAGTGCAGGAAATATAAATGATAAGAAAAAATAGAAATCAATTGTCTTTGATTTGAGTTGGATCCCCTCTACAATGTAGCCATAAATGGCTACTTATAAGCAAACATTTGTAAGAAAAAACTACCTAATAACTACCATATCATTCCATCTTCCACACTTCACACTCCATGATCTTCCACTTTATCTCTATATCTCCTTAACTTCCTTTAACCTCTAATTCATACTCCATGTTCTTTATTATGTCCTCCATCATCTTTTCACATGTGTTTAGTAATTCATAACTTCTTATAACCTCCAAATGAGTATGAGAGTGCCATATATTCTGCAATTATATAGATAATAACTAATAATAAAATTATTTATTTATGGTGCCAACAAATATATTATATGGTATACAAGATTTGACCATATTTTATGTAGGTGAAGTGTGATGATATTGAAGAGTGGCATTTTTATCATTGTTTTGTGACACTGTGACCATTTCATCTAGCATACTTCCAATGAACACTATAAAAAAATACTATTTTTATGAATATTTTGTTTTAAAACGAAAAGCTTTTACATTAAGCCATATTATTTTATATAAAAATTGTGTATAAAGTTTTTGATTAGATATTTTTATTTCCCATAAAATATAAAACAATAATGTTATGTAGCTCGAATCGACCCTTCCCCGAATCCCCCCGAATCCCCCGAAATCAAAATGACATCGTTTCGTCGTTTTGATTTTTTTTTTTTTTCAGAAGAAGAAAATCAAAAAAGAAGAAGAAGAGAAGAGAGAGAGAGACCGAGACCAACATCAACCATTCATCTTCATCATCAACATCATCATCAGATCCAAAAAAAAAAAAATCAACAACATCTTCATCAACACATGATATTCATCCTCAACCATCACCATCACCATCACCGTGTTCTTCTCTTCCTCCTCCTCCCCATCTTTTCTCCTTCTTCTCTCTTCCTCATCTCTTCTCATCCAGAAAAAAAAAACAAAAAACAAAATCGGGCTGGACCCTCGATCGGCGGAGGCGGAGATAGCGTCGATCGGTGACGGCCTCGACCCTCTCTCTCTCTCAATTCTCTCTTCCCCTCTCTTCTCTTTCTCCCTTTCTCTTTCTCTTTCTCTCCCTCTCCCTCTCCCTCTCCCTCTCCCTCTTCCTTTCTGCGTTTCAGACATAAAGGAGGGAAGAAAAAAGAAAAAAAAAAAGGAAACTGCCCAAAACGACCGTTTTGGGCAGTCGGGGAAGAAAAATTCGGGGGAAAACTCATTTTCAAATATAAAATATAAAATGATGTCATTGTTTTGTCATCAAACTAATAGTGCACACAAGAACTCTCAATTCATTTGGGCGAAATTTCATCCCACGAATAGTTATACCTATCAAAATATCCATGGGCAAATTGTCTACCGACTTTTGGTACAATTTATTTTAAATTTTTTAGCTTACTTTTTTAAAAAATAATGATAAAAAAAAAAAAATTGTATATAAATATATAAATTTTATTAAAAAAATGATATGTCTTTAATTATTATTTTAAAACAAAAGACTCTTAAAATTATTTATTTTTTTTAAAAATGATACTATTATATCATTTTGTCAAAACATTTTGTATAAGTATCATTTTCTATTTTAAATGTTTAAGTAATTGTTGTTTAAAAATTTTTAATTTTTCCGTGTATTTAATTTTAGAGAACCTACAAAATAAATAAATAAATAATCTCAATATTTGATTCTTGTAATATGTTTTAAAGGAATTTTGGATCATATAACACCTCAAAATATTTAGGATAAGTTATACTGACTTGATATTTGAAAAAGATACAAGTCCTGCAATTTTAACATAATTATACAAAATTTTCATTTTTGCAACGTTAAAGAGAAAATTAATGCCGCTAAAAAAAAAAAAAAAGGGACTAAAATTAATGTAGATAATATGAAAACAAAAAGGTATGGAAAGTAAAATATACATTTTAATATAAAAAAAATGATAATATTAATTTTTCATTCATACAATTAACAAAATTCTAATTAAAATGAGTTAAAACTATAAAATTGTCGAGTGTAATTATGTGAAACTTTAACATAGAACGATCAAAAAAACTATACAAATACAATTCAAAGACCAAACCAATAACACAGAGAGAGATGGAGGAGATGAAGGGGCAGCCATGGCCTATTACACGAACTTATTGGGCGAGCAGCAGTTTCAAGCATGGAACTTGTACAAACAATTAGATAGCGATGAAGATAGAACAGTGAGAGTCCAAGACTAGTCAGACTTTCTCAAAGACCAAGGTCACGCGAAAAAAGTACCTCCCAACTTGTTCATGAACTTGTTTTCGATGCTGAACAAGAATGGTGATGGGACTCTTGATTTTGAGAATTAATGTTGTACTACATGATTGAAGGAAGAGGGATATGGTGCTATGATGGGTGTGGTGTTAGAGTCTGAATTCCCTCCTTGCAATTCCTCCTTGCAATCCTCCTTTTGCACATCCAACGGCCATAAAAAAAGAAAAAGAAATTGAAATTTCACTTTCCCGCCCAAAACAAAACACAGCCTATACACACAAAATTTCGTTTGGAATCACAAGCACAAAAACACATACTCATTCCTTCTTCTCCATCGAACCCACCCTCACCGGCGACCCAATACCGGTGGCGATCTAGTCTTGATGCCGTTGCAGATCCGATGACGGTGAAACATTCTCGACGCTGTTACGCTCTGTCTCTGTAATTGAATTGCATTTTGGCAAACCAGAGCTGTCATGCTCTTCTCCTCCACCTCACTGGCAGACCCTCGTTACAGCGACCTACTCCCCAAACCAAATCCATTGCTTTGCCCTCATTTTGTCTTCTCTCACTTCGCAAACCAGAGGTTAGTCTTCATTGTCTCTGTCTCTGTAATTGAACTGCCTTTTGTTTGTTCGTTTGGAATTTTTTTGTGACTGTAATAACAATTATCTTGCAATCTATAATAATTGTTAATTCAAAGTCATTGGAATTACAGTTATAGGCTTTAATTCAAAACTGACTTCTATTTGACTGTAATAACAATTGTTCTTTGGATTTTTTTTGTGACTGTAATAACAATTGTTCTTTCAATGTAAGCAAACTTTGTGGCAGAGCATGTGAGCAAACTTTGTGCCAGAGCATGTGAGCAAACTGTAATAACAATTTTGTTTTTTTCTTTAAGAACACCATATCTATTTTGTTGGGTATTTCTAGTTCCTCTTGTTGAGAAAATTGGAAACCTCCATCCTCAGAGCATGTTTCACAGATCATGAATGACAATTGATAAGGGTTCAATTTTAGTCTGTTGTTGTGACCAATTGAGCTATCAGTTTGACATTCATTTCAACTTTTAGGTATATGCTATATTCTAGAATTGGCCACTAATCTACTTTCAACTTGATGTAGACAAAATTCATTGATAATTATAGAATGACTTTGTTAGATTATCTTATTAATTATGCTAACACACACTTTCATGTGCATCCATAATTGAATTATGCCAATGCATTATTCTGCATATTAAAGATAGTTAATGCAAATGATTTCAGAAATTGAAAAGATAATTTTTAAACTTGCCAAACCCTGTGTATTTATTATTTGATCTTAATTGGGTGTCACTCTTTAGTTCTCATTTCTTGTTTCTTTATCCAAGTGTGACAGTGAGTTCTTTGATCATAGTACAGATATTGTGTTTTTTTATGTAGCTAAGATTTTATTTAAATGGGTTTTTAGTTGCATTTTCATATAGATATGGAACTTGAGAATGATTGTTCTTGGAAGCCAAAACAGGGAATGACATTCGATTCTGAACAATGTGTATATGATTTTTATAATACATATGGAGGAAGAATGGGGTTTAGCATAAGAAGGGATTTTTGCAGGAAGAACAAGTTCACTAACCAACTTATTTGTAGACTTTTGGTTTGCAACAATGAGGGATTTTGGAACGTTGACAAACGAGACCCATTGGCAAAAAACCCTAGAGCTGAAACTAGGACTGGTTGTGAGGCTCGACTTTATGTTAAATTAGATGAGGGTACTGGAAAATTTGTTGTGACTGATTTAAAAGAAAAACACAACCATGATCTTGTATCACCCGAGTGTGCCTACATGGTGCCGCCACAAAGAAAGATATCGACTACCCAAGCAATTGAGTTACAGTTGGCGGTACAGTCTGGTCTTTGTTTAGGCCAGTCTTTTGAACTCATGGGTAGGGAAGCTGGTGGGAGGCAATGTCTTGGGTTTACAAAATTAGATCAAAAAACTTATTTGAGAACCAAAAGACAACAAAGTTTAGCATATGGGGAAGTAGGCAATGTGTTGCAATACTTTAAGTTAGATAATGAGGAGCAAATAACGAATATGTTTTGGGTCGATGCACAAATGATCATGGATTATGCCTAATTTGGTGATGTTGTCACATTTGATACGACTTACAAGTTAAACAAAGAACATAGACCCTTTGTATCTTTTGTGGGATTCAACCACCATAAGGAAACAATTATATTTGGTGCAGCCTTGTTGTATGATGAGACCGCTGAATTGTTTGTATGGTTGTTTCAAAATTTTCTAGAGGCTATGTCCAAAAAGGCACAAAAAACTTTGTTCAATGATCAAGATGCTGCAATGGCTAAAGCCATACCCATCGTTATGCTTGGCACAAGTCACCGATTATGTACTTGGCATTTGATGCAAAATGCATTAAAACATGTTATTTGTATGTTCCAAGATAAGAGGGTAAAGGGTGTACTAAATAAATTCTTCTTTGACATTGAAGATGCAAATCAATGGAAGTTAGAGTGGGCAGAAATGCTTGATAAATATGATGCGCATGAAAACCGTTGGTTGAAATTGACTTTTGCGGTGAAAGCAAAATGGGGCTGGCCATATGTTAGATCAACATGTGCTACGAGAATGAGTACTACACAACTTAGTGAATCTTTTAATGCTTTTTTGAAAGATTACATTCGTTTTGATTTTAACTTAAATGAATTCTTCATGCATTTCAATAAGGTACTTTACGAGAAGCGATACAAGGAGTTAGAAGCAGGATATGCTTTGTGCCAAAGGTTGTCAAAAGTGAAAACAACAATAAGAATGTTAATTCAAATGGGTAATGTGTACACAAAAAAGATTTTTGAGGAATTTCAAAATGAGTACTTTCGATCCATTGAATCAGACATAGAATCAATTGAATATGGTGAGGCTAGTACCATTTACACAGTTGTTGATGTTGGTAACAAACATACAAGGAAAGTGAAAATGGAGAGGGATGGCTCTTTGGGTTATAATTGTACAAAGTTTGAAATGAAGGGAATCTTGTGTTGTCACTCATTAAAGGTTATTAGAGACATATTGAAGATGAAAGAGGTTTCTCCACAATATATTCTAAGGAGGTGGACCAAACAAACAAGAGCCGAAACTGTGAAGGACATTAAGGGGAATGACATTCAAGTAGATATGAAATTCCAACAAGTCTCGCGGTATAAGACATTGATGATCGCATTTAGAGCACTAGCAAGTAAAGTTGTTGAAATTGAAGAAACTTATGATTTTTGTATTGCACACCTTGCTACATTATGTGCAAATGTTGAACGCAAGTTAAGTGCTTATTTTGGTGTTAGAAATGAAGTAAGTAATGATGATGACACCCAAAGCTTTGAAGTGGATTGTGAAGATGTGAATCATGTTGTGCAACCAAAAGGATTGAAAAAAAATGTGGCAACTAGAAAGGGCAAATGAGGGTAAAAGGTGGATTCGAAGCAACATTGGTAGCGAACTCCAAAAAAAAATCCCGTGCTAACAGCTTGGCTTCATCAAAATCTATTGCAAGTCCAACAGTTAGTCCAACAGTTACACCTTCTCCATTATCTGTTGGAAGAGATATCTATGTTCATCAATATGTTCCTCCTCTTCAAACTCTTCCTCTCCTTCATCCTCTTCCTCCATCTTCGGCCATGGGTAGTAATTTTATTTTTTCGCCATTGACGTATCCCACATATCATGTAAGTGTTACTTTAACATTGTATTTTTTGTGTGTATTTTTTTGCGAAGCCTAATATATGACATTGTTGTAGGCGAACAATTTGCAGGAGATGTATGTAGTGCCAAATTCTTTGCCAAATTCAATGCCTCAATGGTATTCTGCTCAACCAACATTCCAGTCACTACTTCAAGGTTCATGTGGATATGACATTGTGTTTCGATATTCTCAAGAATCAAATAGTCCAATGTATAGTCAGGTTCGTCCTTGTTGTCTTTTTAATTTTTTGTTGTTGAAAATTCTAGCTTTTTAGTTACTGAAAATTCTGTGATAGCATGTATTTACTTGCTGAAAATTCTGTCTTTTTCCCTTTTAGGCTACTGACAAGCAGAAACAAAAGCAAACTGATGCTGAAATTGGCCTGGAAAGTGAAGTCATAGCAGCTATAATTGTGAAGCAAACTGCTGCTGGAAAGTGATGTTGCTGGTATGAAGCAAACTGCTGGAAAGCAAACTGTGGAGCAATGTGTGTTCAAATGTTAATGGGTTGTATGTGTTTTCAAAGCAAACTGTGAAGCAATGTGTGAAGCAAACTGCTTATATGTGTTCAAATGGAGCAATGTGTTAATTTAGATGGACCAATGTGTTAATTTAGATGGGCCAATGTGAGCAAACTTCACTTGATGTTAATTCACACTTGATGTTAATTTACACAGTTTTTTCATTTAGTAGAAAAATTATCCCATCTGTTGTGCTGCTATCCATTTTTTGATTCTGTTGGAACTGTATTTAACTTGTATTGGTGTGCATGTTTGTATTGCTGAAATTGTGTTGGTGTCCATGTTTGTATTGGTCCTGGCATGCTAGTCCTGGTTCTGTTGTTCTGCTGATCACTTATCTATTCTGCTGGTGGTATACTGGTTTTGCTGTTATCTGGTTCTGGTATGCTAGATCTGCTGCTAGAACTATAACATGTTGCTAATGATAGAACCATAACATGTTGGTTTTGGTATGCTGGATCTGGTATGCTAATGATAGAACCAAACATGTTGGTGCCAATGTTGGTTTTGGTTCTGGTATGTTAATGATAGAACCATACATGTTGGTGCCAATGTTGGCTCTGTTGGATCTGCTGCCATACTCATAGAACCATAACATGTTGGTTCTGGTATGCTACTGCTGTTAAACCAAAATGTGCCATACTGATAAATGGTTCTACTAGAGCTTCATGCTGCTGCCATACTCAGAACCATAACATGCTAACAGATAATAGATAAACTTGCTAACAGATAAACTTGTTAACATTTTATCATGCTACTAATGATGATAAACTTAAGTCATAAACTTAACTTAAGTAAGTAATGATGATAAACTTAAGTAAGTCATGTTGCTGCCATACTCAAAACCATAAGTAAGTAATAATGATAACTTGCTGACAACATGTTTTCCAAAATTCATTCCATCATTCATTCCATAACAGATAACAAGTTGAATGTTTTCCAAAATTTATTCCATCATTCATTCCATTATAGATAACAAGTTGAATGTTTCCCACAAAACATTCCGTCATTCATTCCATAACAGATAACAAGTAGAGGCCACAAGTTGAGGGAAATCAACCAATATTAATTCATTCTACAGTTCATTCCATAACAGATAACAAATTGAGGCCACAAGTTCAGGGCAATCAACTAATGTTTCCCAAAAATCAATCCATAATGAAGTAATGGCAATTCTAAGTTCAACATTAAAATTCATTCCATAAACATAAGTTACATCATGAAGTACATAAAACTCAAAATGATACAAACTTCCATTCAGTTTCTCAAAATACAATACAGTACAAAAGTTACATCATAAACTACAAAATAATAGAAAATACAATGAAATACACCATCGTTTTGATATTATTTTCCATCCTTTGAAGCCTTCGACCATAGTCATTTTCCATGTAATCAAGCATCGTCCTTACATCGTTAAAGTCTTCTACTGTTATAGCATCACAAGTTGTACTGTTGGAACGGATTCTGGACATAATGTCTTCATCATTATCATCCACGAACTTGAGGTAATTGCAATGCAGAGTGGGAGTGTTACTCTGCAATGCATGACAATCAGTTAGTCGAATAAGACAAATATTAATGTGACTACTAAAGGAATAAATTTTCTAATACATACTTACATATTTTGATGGGAAAACAAAGAACAAATGCCCTTGATTTCCATTCTCATTGGTTCTTACAATATATATGGCAGCGGTTCTTCCACAATTGCACAGCCTCGGTTGTAATCTTATGTTGCTATTGTTAGAAGAAGAAGCCATTTTTTAAATTTGCATACATGAGAAATTTTTTAAATGGCAGTTCCATAGAGGAAATGGACATAGTGTGAAGGCTATTTGAATTTGAGCCAAACTGAAAACATCTTCACTGAAAATGGAACAATATGGAACAACTAGTGTAACATCTTCAATTTAAGAGTGGGTGACTGGATTTGCTAGATTAATGTCAGCACTGAAAACATCTTCAATTTGAGCCAAACTGAAAACATTCTCATTGGGTAAAATGTTAGGACTTGCTAGATTAATTGGAACAATGTGGAACAACTACAATGTGGAACAATGTCAGGACTTGCTAGGTTGTCAAGGATTGACTTAACTCATTGTTTTTTAACTCATTTTCATTGAAGCCAATGCAACACCTAGTTCTTAACTCACTTTCATTTGATTTGTAACTTACTAGGATTTTATCATTTATTCTACCCAAAGTAGATAATTAGTTTTTCAAACACAGAACATAGCATTAATGGATATAATTTCAAATAGTGTCATGGATAATTAGTTCAACTATAATTTTGACAGAAATTTATTTTTGGTGGTAGTTATTCAATGTTCAATTTGTACATTGTTTGCTATTTGTGGTCCTGTTTATATTTCAGTATTGGTTTTTATGCTTGAATTTTGTACTGGATTAGTACAGATGTTAGCAGTGCTAAAATAGCATATCACAACATAAAACACTCACTCCAGCCTCTTATATATGGAGCAGCTCATAACAAATCTGTATAAGATACACTTTATACAGGCTAAAATAGCATAGAAAAGACTACACCAGTGGAGATGCTTCTAGTATGTAAACAAAAAGAACTTAAGTTGTTTTTGGCTTCAAGGAAAATGGATCTTAGAAATAGTACTAGAGAGCAATTATATAATTTCAAACACAGAACAAACTACTGTCATGGATAATTAGTTCAACTATCATTTCAAACACGGAACAAAGTAATTTCAAACACAAAACTTAAGTTCAACTATAATTAGTTTTTCAACTATAATTTGAAAACTTAAGTTCAAACTAGTGTCATGGATATAATTTCATAGGAACTCTACAACAATTCTTTACAAAATCAAGTAGAAAATAAATCAATTTGTCTAACTAATTCATCCAAAACCCATAAAATCACACCCACTCTGAAAGCCCTAATTTTTCACTATTCGAATCTCAAATCAAAGCTCTAATTTTGAAATTTCAAATCTATTTTCTCAATCTCAATCACATAACCCTAACTTGTTAATTTCAGAGTTTCGAATACAAACCTGGTTCCTCTATGGCCTCAGAACCCACGTTCTTATCAAGAAATTTATTCGCTCAGCCGATGGTGGTCACGGTGGAGTTATGGTTCACGAAGCAGAGAATATTAGGGCTGGAGTGGGTCGCGCGTCTGGGGGACTGGTTGCCGGTAAGGGTGGGTTTGGTGGAGGAGGACGGGTGAGTGCGAGGCTGAGTGAAAGTGAGAGTGATTGTGCTTGAATATATAACTATAGCAACGGGTGAGAATAAAGTGAAATTTCAATTTATTTATTTATTTATTTATTATGGCCGTTGGATGTACAATGACTGATCTCAGTCGTTGCAAGGAGGATTGTAAGGAGGAATTGCAAGGAGAGGATCCGGACTCGTGGTGTTATGCTGTGGGGAATCAATTTCATATATGTGAAATGCTATGAGGCTGGTGGTACTACGTATGAGCTCTGTTGTGTGTGTTTTTAGAATAGAAACTTCAAACCCTAACACTCCGTTTTCTTGGATAATTTAAATCCCAATTTTTAAATTTATTTTCAATTTCAATTATATATTTATTTTTATTTATTAATTGGTAGAAAATTAATATTTTAATCATTAAATTCAATATATGTCTATATAAAATGTTTAAAATATCATTTTTATTGAGTTTAATGATCAAAACTTCTTTTTTTACATTGATTTTACCTTATCAAAATAGGCATATGGTTTAAATTGAAAACAAATAAAAAGATTAGGATTTAAATTAACAAAATTAAAAACTTAAGATTTATTTTAATTTGTTTTCAATATAAATTATTTGTCTATTTATATTAGGTAAAATCGCTAGAAAAATTATTTTAGCCATTAAATTCAATTTAAGTGTATATAAAATGTTTAAAATACCATTTTTTTTTTATTGAATTTGATAACTAAAATATTTTTTTTTCTTGATTTTACTTAACGAAAATAGATAGATGTTTTATATTGAAAACAAATCAAAAAATTAATATTTAAATTAATAAAATTAAAAACTCATGATTTATTTTGTTATAAAAGTCAAACTCCAGCTTTTTTTTTTCTTCGTAATTACTCAATAAAAATGAACATTTTATTTTAAAATACACTTGGCGTTCATTCTTTTATAGACAAAAATAATAAAATGAAAATATTACGATTATTGAATTTACTTAATTTTTTCATAGATAATATATACAAGTCATAAAAAATAAACTATTCAAATCATTGAAATAAAACTCAGGGTGGGTTTCCAAATCGAACAATCAAATACAAATTGGAACTGAAATAAGCCCAACATAAGAGATAAAGCGGGGTGTCCTTAGAGTGCGAGCGTGAGCACTCAAAATATATTTTGCTTCTGCTGAGAGTTGTTTTGGAAAGTGACTATTTTAATTATTTTTTAAATTTTTTATCAAAAAAAAAAAATGGTATAAAGAAAATAAAAAAAAAAATTGACTTTGTAATAGAGTATTTTTTACTATTTTAAGTGCTTGCCAAAACACTCCTCAATCGTATAAACCTTGGATAGGCAGAGATTAAGGTCCGCACTGTAATTTAATTGCCTTTAGGTTCAAAAAGAATTTTGGGCCTATCCATGAAATGTAATAAATGGGCCTTACTTATTTTTATTGATCCATCATCACTCTAATTGTTGAGTTTCGTAGGAAGAAAAAAAAAATTAAATTAGACCATTAAAAAAACGACCAAAAATAAACAAAAAGAGATTAATATAATAAAAGCATATTAATAATTAAAATAATAAAATAATAATACATTTTTAAACATATATTAATAAGCCGGTAGCGACCATCCACTCTCCATTAATGGTACCCATTTCCTAAGAAAATAACGGAGAGGAAACCTAGCTTCGCTCTCCTTTAAATGGTACGCATTTCTTAAGG